AACGTACTGCGTGGCGCCAAGATTAGCAAAGGGATATTGCAGTTCATTGCCACCACGAGGCTGCCCACGGGGAAGCCGCCCTGCATCAGCAACCACTGCGCACACAATGCAGAGTACTAACCAAGTCTTGGCGATAAATCAGCATGCACGATGGCCCAAATGCAGTGCGGACACGCCCCATCGTTGCTGCCCACACACAGAGCATGGCCCTTTTGCCATCTGAAGTTTTGTAAGCTCAGTTCCACCAATGGTTGTTGCCAATACGATTTCTTCATGCATGTGTGGCACGGATTCTGCACATGCAAGGACGAGTAGGGTGGACGTCATTCGTTAGCAGCACCGGTCTGGAACTCCCACCCACCCCAAAGACAGGTGGCCCCACAGGCCTACACAAGCCCCACAACCGTAGGGACGATCTGTCATTAAACTTGATATAATCACCGCTGTGTCCACCCAAAGAACCACAACGGCCTGCCAGTGCAGCTCACAAGATATCGCCCACAGATAGACTTAACTTCTCCAAATTGAACTGACAAGAATGGAGTCTATAGCAAATGCACAATCTGACAACAAATATGAGGACAATAGCCAAGTCGACAACTTCAGCCTGACCTGGACAATTTCCTCAAAGAATGTGAACCCTGCAGGCCTCTGCCGCACCGACTGCAGCAGCAGGCAGCTGTGAATAATCCACACCACAGCTTCCATCCAGCGTCACACAGGGCAGCCGCATGGTCCCCAGCCAGAGTCCCGATGGCCCAAACTTTGCAGTGTATCTGTCGTTCCATGCATGGGAACCTCGATGGAAGCAGCTTCCTATTCCTCTCTTGCCGCCATTCTCATCATGAGCACCGGTGTTGCACCAACACTTGTCGCCGCCGTCGAAGGAGGCCCCTGCTGGCGGACAGCCCCCCCGCAAAAAATAATGAATCTTCCAACCACACAAACCAATGTCGCAAGAGCCCGCCGCCATCGGACTCAAGAATAAAGAACCTCCAAGCCAAACGGATGAAAGAAATGTCCGAAATCGCGCCAAAGAAGCCCCAGTCTCCGCCGCCCTCAGCCCATGGTGTAGCTCGGCGTGGCGAGGTTGATGACTGTCGACTTCACCTTGGTCATCATCTGCAGGCTGTTCCGGATGCCCTGCGAGCCGATGCCGCTCGCCCGGAAGCCCTGGAACGGGAAGTGGTCAGGCCCGCGCGCCGGCGCCGCGTTGATCTGCACGCTCCCCGTCTCCATGGCGTCGCTGATGCGCACCGCCCTTTCCACGTCCCGCGTGAACACGCACCCCTGCAGGGCCAGCTCGCTGGCGTTGCAGTGCGCCACCGCCTGCTCCACGCCCTCCACGCGCATCACAGGCAGCACGGGCCCAAAGGGCTCCTCCCAGGCCAGCCGCATCCCCTCCGTGACATCGTCCACCACCAGAGGCCAGATCAGGTTCCCCTCCCGCCTGTAATCCATCCTCAACCTGGCGCCCTTCGCCCGCGCGTCGTGGACCAGCGATTCGATGAAGTCCGCTGACGACTTGCTGATAACGGGCGTGATCGAGGCGTCGTCCTCCGGCGACCCCACCGTGAGCTGCCTCACCCCCTCCAGGACCTGATCCACCAATTCTTCCGCCACGGCGTTCTCCACCAGCACGATCTTGACAGCCGTGCAGCGCTGCCCACTGTAGGAAAACGCCCCCTTGACGATCGATCTGGCCGCCAGGGCGATGTCGGCGTCCGCACAGACGATGCAGACATCCTTGCCGCCGAGCTCCATCTGCAGGGGCACCATGGAGGCCTTCTTGCAGATGGCGATGCCCGTGTCGCCGCCTGTGAAGCTGATGCAGCCGGCGGAGCTGTGGGTGGTGAGATAGTCGCCGATCTCCGAGCCCCGGCCGGTGGCCAGGTTGATGACGCCCGGGGGCAGGCCCGCCCTGTGGAAGCACTGGATCATGTGGATGGCCGCCACGGAGCCCTGCGTGGGGGGCTTGATGACGACGGCGTTGCCGGCCATGAGCGCGGGGGCGATCTTGGACACCGCCAGGTTGACGGGGTAGTTGAAGGGTGGGATGCACAGGACGACGCCCAGGGGAACCTGGCGGGGGCAAAGGCCGGGATTGGCTCACCAGAAGGAACTTGAGATCTCTGAGAGTGCACCAGTCGTGCAGCATCTAATCACTGTTGCAATGTGTTTGTCGAACTGGCAGCCTTCTTGCTGATAGATGCAGGCTCTGTGGTAGTTAGTGCATCCATGAGTCCAAGACACAAATGAAACTTCTAGTCTGCCTACAGTGTCAGCAAAGAGCTTTGCAGTTCTGATGTAAAACTGCACTGCACCAGGGCAGGGAAATATGTTCTGACTTGATTGCTTGCACAAAATTGGGATACACCACTGCATTTTCATCTTCAGGCAAAAGGGGAGGCAGGACTGACGATGCTGCATCAGGGACTGAGTAGCACCTGGGTTGCCATCCTTTGCCACGGATGGGGGGTGCAGTGCAGGGACCAAAAAGGACTCTTTATGAGTTCAATCAGATAGGCCAGACAGTATTCAAGCTTGCTCTTGGAAGACCTGGCTGAAGCAGAGAGGAAAAGTGATTCATATGATTGCTAGCACTTGTGACTTTGCTTACAGCATCCCTTCAGCATTTATTTTCTGCTTCAATTTTTGGTTTCTCACTTACCAGTCTACAAATGTTTGAGATTCTGTAGGATTCAAACCGGCAGACACAGTGGGCAACCACGTGCGGAACTTGGCAAAGGTCCAGACCTGATACTGTGCTGACACATCGTTTGTTGACAGCAGCGAACGTTGAAATCAAGGGCACAGGAAGACGGCTGTCAAGACACTTATGTGGTCAACCCAGACAGAATGGCATACTTCAGGGACGACCACTACTGGACAGCAGAACCTGGACTTCCACTGAGTTCTGTGCTTCTCCAGAGGAGAATTCCAGCACGTTGATGTAGTATGCAAAGAAAGCAAACATAAACAAAATAATTTGGGCACAGGTTGTCACATTTTCAATTGGTAAATATGCATGACCCCGGTGAAGTGCATAGTCAATTCCTGTCGTCACCTTCAACAGCCAGCCGCCAAACCAACATCTTGGCAACCAATCTCGAAAACAGGCAGGGAGCGCTATTTGGTGGGGCTGGAACTGAGCCGACGTTGCCCACTTGGAAATCCTTCGTATGATAGTAGGAAACACCAATGGGGATGGACATTTCTTGCTCCATTGCAAGACATCCGTGCTTCATTGCTGGGGCGGCAGGAGAGCCATACTTTCTCCCAATAGATTCCCTCTGGCAGCAAAAAGCAGGAAATGTAGGGAAGCAACACCCTCTGTGGGTGGGACAAATTGATTCAGCAATGCCAATGCAATCCACCCTGCGATCATCAAGCAATTGAACGACAGCCAGCAGATCAGTGCCCATCCACCGCTGCATTGCCCCCACCCTGGACTCCAGGCACAGCTTGTTCCTTTCGTTGCCCGGAAAGGAGTCCGACGTGAGGAGCTTCCCCTCGCCCAGGTAGCGAACACCCTCCTCGGCGGTGTAGTCAATGAGGTCCGCAGACCTGATCACCTCCGCCATGCTGTCCTTCCGTGGCTTGGCCACCTCCGCCACCAGCGCGTCGGCGATCGGCTGCGGGTGCTCTCGCATGAGCCGGGCCGCCGCGTGCAGCGCCTGGGCACGCTTCCAGAGCGGCGTCCGCGCCCAGGGCTTCTGCGCCGCTTTGGCCGCCTCGAACATCAAGTCCACTTCCGCTGGCGTGCACGCTGCGCGTCAAAGGGCGCAACATCGCGCAAGAGTCATGCATCCAATCCGCACTCACGGATATCGAGTCGCTGTGAGTCGGTTGCTGTGGGGCTGAGAACCGGTGAGGGGGATGGATGCGAATCGGCGGGATATGTTTTTTGAGCGAGGAGTTGAGGGGGCGGGGTGCCCGGGCCCCGTGGTGCGGGCGGCGAGCGGACGGCACGGCAATGCGCACGGATGGCGAGCCAAACACGGCGAGCGCGGTTTCCACGCGCAACGCGATAGCCCCAGGATCGGCAGCGGAGCGGGGACAATTGATTCCGTCCGCCGGCGGCATGAGTTGCCGCGGAACGCTGATCGGAATACAGCCGGGCGGCGCGAACGTTACCTCGCGTGGCGCGACGCGCTCCGACCGATCCTCCTGACACCCGCCGGGCATGCCCGGCACCTCTCGAGCGGCATCACTGGGCGAAGCACAGCGGGGTGGGGGGCGCACGAAGGCCATGTACATGCCCGCACCTTGCACGCGGAAAGCGACCCCCTGGGTGGTGGGGTTGCTGATCGAGACCTGCTTCCCGGAGGACGATTCCCTCCACGCGCCGTCCAGGTAGAACTTGTACGCCCCGCAGCCGGCCGGCAGTTCCTCGTAGAATCCCCCCGCCCGCGCGATCGGCTGCGCATCGGTGGCCATGGCGCCCGCCTGTCCGGCCCACGCGCTGGGCGTCCGGCGGGTGCTGGCCAAGGAGCGCAGGGCTGGGCGCAGCAGCCTGGCGCCGCGGGGCAACATACACTGGGCTCGGGTCGGGGGGGTCCGTGTGGGGATGAACTGCTGGCCTGTGCGTGGACTTGACACGGCAGCGGGGCGCATGACACCAAGTCGCTGCTGTGCGCGTGTGTGGCGAGGCGGCGGCCCCCTGGGTGCGTGGAGACGGACCTGTGGTGACCTGGGGTGCCACGCACGGGCTGACGCGCCCACCCCGGGGACTACCTGGATAGTTGTCAGGGCGCCTTTGGCCGCTCTTGCGAAAGGGCAGGTGGATTCACCCGAGGGGGGCCAGAGGGGTGAACAAGGTCAGGTGGGTGTTTTGCAGACGAGTTGGGCAAGGCGTCGCGCGGAGACGCTGCCCTGTGAGTGTGGCTGTTGGGGTGGTGGGCATTCTTGGGCAGCGGAACGGCCTGTGCCTGGCCGGGTTTGGACTGGCGGCGGTGCGCTGAAACTCCGTCGACCAGGGAAACAAACAGGGGATGAAAAATAGGCATGCCAGTGTTCGGTGAATCAGTAAGATAGAAATAGTCACACCGGTATAAATGCGACTTGATCAATTCGCAAATCTACATTTCCAGCGGTAAATCTTGCTCTCAGGTTCCGTTGCTGAGTTATCTAAATTTTTGTTCTAAATTTTGTCTGCGACCTGCTGGGCGTGCCCATTGTTCCGGCGCACTGTATGTGGATTAGATATTTACCGTTAGAAATTTAAAAATTTAGGAAAGACGATCATGCGCACTGTATCACACTGACAGAAAAACACAATGCCGTGCTTTGGGGCCTCCTCCCGTCCACCTTATAAGCCGATGTGTCCTACATCTATGCTTACCCAGCAATGTCCTGGAGAAAGGACTGTTTGCGGCTGCACGGATGAGTCGGAGGACGACGCTTGATACCATGATTTTCACGACAATTTTTAGCGTGCAGCACTTTTCGAGTCCATTTGTTTGGGTACATTCCGGCCAAAATCCTGCTCTGCCATTCTTCCATGTTGTCTGCTGCTTTTGGGGAGCCCTGTTTACCGTGTGGCAGCGCAAGGAGACTCGCCAGAAATACGCCAGCCGCGTCTGACATAAACAATGGTGCTCTAACAGCGTCTGTTTTCGCTCCAGCCTCTGCTGAGCTCCTTATCTCAGTTTGGCCTTCCAAAGACACAGCGGGGTCCCTGCACCTTGCAGGCGGTGCCCTGCAAAACGCAGTTTCCGCTTTGCTTCCCCTTTCTACGCACATTCCAATGCCACACGCTCAACTTGGTGCCCGCAAACACACGTCCACATGTGGGATCCGCCTCAGGCAGGGTCGTCAATGGCGAGCGGCGAGACGATACGGTTATGCAGCCTGCTGAGCCCTGTGTGCAAGTACCTGGGACCCGACGGCGAGCCTGGACTGAATTTTGAAGCATTCAAGAATGCAAAAAGATTGCTTGAACAACAGCAGGAGGGCCACTACGAGCCGTGCTTCAGGCCTTCCGTGTTCTTGAAGCTCGCAGACCCGGGGCGGGGTTTGGTGCCCCTGTCGCGGTTTGCGACTTACATTGAAGATTTGCTGACCATGAAATCCGCGGTGAGACGAGGTTCGTTCACCTGCCAGCATGCAGAATTGCCGATCAGGCACTGCTGTCTTGCTTTTGCCGAAGGCTGCATTAGGAGGCGTCAATAGTTCTCGCATAATACTTTGTGCCTTATTGGTGTTGAAGTTAATGATATCATCAACGAATTGCTGGGTGCCACGCACGGGGATGTAAAAGTGTTGTTAGCATTACTGCTGTCCTCCCGCAGTTTACTACAACCATTTCGTTGGCCCCGTCGGGGGCTCTGCGGGCATTTTTGCACATCATGATTCTGCACAGTGCTAGAGCAAACTACTGCAGATCATGATCTGCAGTAGTTTGCTCTAGCACTTCCGTGATCACGGAAGTTGACGCGGGGGTTGTTGAATAGCGCGGGGGCTCTCAGATGACGGCCCCCGCGGTGTCGAACATGGCCACCGCTGCAGAGCGCGGGGAGTACGTTTAATAATGCGGGTGTTATGCGTCTCACATTATGGGACATCCTCGCTCGCTATCAACAAATGCAGTGACACAGTGCGAAGCCACAGAAATGCTATGGTGACGTCCTTCCACTCGTACTATGACTTGCGTCCTATTTTAAACTGGTATTCAGTGTGTTAAATTGGCCTGGTAGTCAATGGGGCAACGTACGGGCGTTATCTATTCATCGGTTTAATGAGGAATGGGGGAGGGGCGCAAGATAGCGCGGTTCTGTGCAGGATAGTTTTCCCCGCGTCCTTGACGCATCACGCCAGCGCGTGCGCCAGCCCTGACGCTCAAAGCGGGGGCCTGCTATCCTCCGTGTTCTACGGTACCCATGCGTCTCGCAGTTGAAAATCGTCAAAACGCACAGTGAACATCACAAACTTTATAACCAGGCGATTTTGAACATGGCCAAATGGGAGTTGAGCTCCTGTCAGAATGCTAATAGGCGCATGTCAGCCAGCCAATCTGTTCACCAAATGTTTAAATTGTCAAAACACATGTGATAGCGATGGTTCTAACAGTGCTCGCCGAACCGAAAGTGTGCTACGGTGTTCTCTTTTTCCAAGGGGCGATCAAATAATGGAACCTTCCTTTTGGCATTTAGGTGACCAACGTGATCAGAGCTTTGCAATTCTCACGCTGTGAGGCAACATTTCAATTTGGAAAACGCAAGTCACGAATTCATGACGCCTGAATCAGACACTTTGAATTGCCTTATTCAAGCACCGCAGATGGCAAAAAGGCTATTCTTTCAACATTCGATACTGGCGGCAGCTGCACAAGCATGCGTGGAACAGCGGGGCGCACTGAGTGGGGAATAGGATCGCCGCGTCCAAATCACATTTGTTCATCTAATTCACTGTCTCCAAAAACAAGGCCAAGACAAGTCCTTCGGTCGTTGCAAACAGGAAATATTCAAAAAATGCGGCGGTGCACGATTTAATTAACACGATTCGCTGCCGTTTCACCGCACAGTGTGGAGTACTTTGGCGCAAGGTGGTTTAAGGAGTAGTGGTTAAATGCGCCTGCTTCAGTCACGGTGATCGGAAGGGTCCTGCACACTGCCGTTGCTCGATTCTATGCAATCACCAAACTCACATGTTGTGAAAGCTTTCAGCACGGCAGAAAACTGCATAGGAAGGGGAACGCTTCCTGCCGCTGAATCCAGAATGCATCCCCATGTGGCTCAGCACGGGGAGCTGCAAGCCTTCGACGACTCCTCCAGCGGCTTCCTTGACGACCGCCAGCTCCAAGACTTCTTCGCGAGCATTCGCCTGTTCGAGCTCCAGGGAATGGCGGCGTCCCGCATCCCCACCGCCAGGCGCATGGCGGCGCAGAGCGTGATGTTCAATCACGGCCGTCGCGGCCGGGTGAAGATCGTTGATTTTGTCGCCAGCCCGGTGATGAAGGATCTGTGCGAAGCTCGAGGGGCCCTGGACGACGGCACCAGCGTCCAGCCGACGAATTGGTTCTCAAAGGAGGTGCGGGAAAGGAGTCTGTGCAGGCATATGCAATGTTGGAACATTGGTGTGGGCGCACAACCTTTGCAAGTTGCAAATTGCAACTGTTGTTTGTCATGACAGGAAGCGCTTGGGTGAGCACATTGTATGTGGAAAAGCGGAGGCGAGGCATATGATGACGACAGAGCGTACGACGCCGATGGGAAATGCTCTGTTGCGTCTGTTGACGCAGTGATGAAATGGTGGCAAAGTTTCGCGAAGCGGTGTTGTATGCTGCCGCGATCGTGGCTGGATATCTATTGGCCGTTTAGAGTCCAAACTTGTAGTTACTGTTGGCCAGTTTCTGAGCCTTAACGACATACATGCGCAATGCTGTCGCTGGCAAGATGGAACCGACGGAATTGCCATAATATGACAATTTAATTGCGATTTGTTTGACTAAAATCAGCGCTTTGCCTGTCCCTCCCTGGAGCTTATGGCAGACGAATCTCATCACGTGCTGCCTGACTCCAACTCGTTTGTTCAGAGCGTGGAGGCCATTCACGATACCTTCCTCGAAATGGACTCGTGCATGACGGGCCGCGTGGTGCCCGAGGACATCGTGGCCTACAAGGGCGCCCGTATCTCACCTTTCTTTGCCCGCCGCGTTTTCGAGGAGCACGGCAACGTGTGCGCCAACGGCGGGGTCGACATGGGACTGGAAGGATTCGTCACTTTCATCATGGCTTGGAGGGACAGGTTGCAGTGAATTACAATATCCGGAAATTAAGAGCCACCCAGCTTGCCAATGAGCCACATTTTTTGGCTTTTGCTCATAGCTGCCATCCCGAAACGATTTTTATTTTTTTATTTTTATTTTTATGAAACAAAAACGGGCGGCCTAAACGCCGTCGTAAATGGTGCAGGAGTCACACGCCAAGGGCTTCGAATGCCGTGTTTGCGCCACGCGGTTCATCATGTTCAACAGCTGAAGCAATACAAGCGGTGTTTAATTTGTCGTTTAGTTTGCCCCTTTTCTGCAACGTGCACAAGTTTTGGAGTTCCTTCATCGAGCGCATCTTCCACTGGCAAACTAAAATGCGTCCAAATAATGAGCCAGCGGAGAGTTTCCACGGCAGAGGAACATCTCTTTGTTTTCTGCTGCAGTTGCTTCGTCTAGCCTCACCTTGGATTGCGATGCTTGGGAGACCAGCACATCCCAAAACGCAGATCAGGTCGTCATCATATGCAATCGCCACGAAGATTGAGAGCGACCGTAATGAAGCTGCAAGGGCACCGTTTCGCCCCCAGCACCCTATCGCGTCATATCACATAATATATTGAGTTTTCGCACCAAATACCCATAAAAAAAACTTCCGCATCGCATTACTAGCGTTAAACGCAAACCCTTTTTTTGCAGAGAAGAATAATAAAGTTTCTGCGGAGCAACACAAAAAGGGTAAAAACGCCCCGAACAAAAACGGCGGAGCAAACATTGTAACGGCAAAATGTTTCGACGCGGAAGGGTTGCATATTTTACGGTGAGGAGGTGACGCATCTTTCCCTGTGGCCGCGGAGGTGCAAGCCAGCCTCCCTTTCCTACCTGTTTCCCGTCTTCGATCTCGGCAAGAAGGGCTACCTGCGCGGCGTGGACATCATGACGTTCTTCAAGGCCGTGGAGGCCATGTGGCTGACCCTGGGCCAGGACGCCTATCCCGGCATGTGCGAGGACGTGGTGAACGAGGTGTTCGACATGGTCAAGCCGGCACAGCCGGGCAGGATCACCAAGGGTGACCTGAGGCGGTCCGGTCTGGCACACTGGGTGTTGGGCATCATGGCGGATGTGTGGGAGTTCTGGCAGCACGAGAACAGGGAGACGCAGGCGAGCGAGCAGGGGGAGGGGGAGTAGGCGACGGAGGACCGTGGGGGGAAGTTGCAGCGCTGCGTTCTGTGGGAATTGAAGCATGACGTGAGTTCTGCGACGCGTTGAGCGCGTGTTGAGTCTGCGGCAGACATCTTGTGAGCGGTTGTGGTCAGTCAATCGGGCGTTTCTTGGGAACAACGTCGTGTTGAGGATGTGACCTGGGTGTCAGGGTATACAATGTTCATCTGTTTCAAGCACAGAAATTGACCCCCAAAGCTTTTTGGAGCAACGTCGGGCTTTCTCACGAATGGGTGAACAGCCGTTCTGGGACCCTTTCACTTGGCCGATGCACTTTCAGCAATGGTGAAGTGCCTGCGCATATACTGCGCATGGCTGTCGCAGGTCCAGGCTGGTCTTGACAGCACATGGTCTGTTGGAACTCAGAGGGCTCACATTCCAAAAAACAATGCTCGCAAATATATGCAGCTGCTTAGCACCGCTCTTTCACATACCATCCAATGACAGCAATGGCAAGGACCCAGGCAGCAGCACCGCCATGCTGCGAGCTGCAATTGAGGCGACACAGGGTGTGGCATCAACGACGCCACTCTCTTCCATTCCAGATGTATCCTTTGGGCAGAGTGGAATGCCTACAGAAAGGTCTACAGCCAGCTGTTCTAGTCAAGAAACAAGACCCTTGGGCGTCCCTTGCCAAATGAACAGATTAGGAGGCACCGATGTCTTGTCTCGATGACAAGTAACGCGTGCGGTCGAGTTACGTTCAGTGCAATAGAGAGGGGCATGCGTGTGGCCTCCTCCTCAAGAGAAACGAAACCTGAAGCGCTATATTTCCCAGTCGTTGGGGGGCTCCATGTCCACGCCGCGAAGCGCCAGGGCATCACACAACACCCATCATATTGTCGCCAGCGCGCGCTCGGGATCGCCAGTTTTCGCTGATGTCCCCTTCCCCACCTACCATTGCCGATTGACAGTTGAGACTTGAGGCCCGCTCTCCTCCTGCTGGTCTCAAAGATCACCGATAGGGACAGCACAATATTTGATTCCGCGTCTGGAGCTGTTGTCATTGGCATCTCGATCCAAGGCCTGTTGACTCTCTTTGAGCCCAGCTGTACAAACTGCACTGTCTGAACTGCAACCCACCAAGTGCTTTTGCTCAATGGTAGCTCACATCAAGCCCATCGCAGGTGACCAAGCGCCCCGGGCCACAAGGACACATTCTCGAGCAAAAAGAGGCATTCAGACATCACAAGGAGCAGCAGCATCTGCAAAACACGAGCAAGCAGACATCCTCTGATGAAACGATCTCAAGAGAGAAACGCACCGCGACACTCGGCGTCCTGGCATCCAGGCCTCCCTCCACAAGCTTGGCTGCCAAGCAGGGCATCGTCTGCAGTCCCATGTACACCACTAGCGTGGCCTTGGGGTCCACAGACTTTGCTATTGTCTCATCCAATTCCTCCTGTCCGCCTTCCCTGGAGTGTCCAGTCAGAAACCGCACGGAAGTGGCCACACCCCTGTGGGTGAGAGGAATTCCCAGCTCAGCTGCAATTCCGGAAGCTGCCGTTATGCCCGGCACACAGTGCACTGTGATGCCCTTCTCACGAAGGAAGTCCACCTCTTCACCTCCGCGGCCAAACACATAGGGGTCCCCACCCTTCAACCGCAGCACCGTTGACCCAGAGTCTGCAAACTGCTCGAGCAGCTCCTGGATCTGATCCTGTGTGCGGGTGTGGAAGCCTCGCTGTTTGCCAACGTACACCATCCGTGCACCAGGGTTGACCAGCTGGAGGATGTCGTTCGACACAAGCCTGTGGGGCAAAGTAACCAATCACCAAATCCTGAGATGGATATGCGATACTCAAAAAGCTTGACAAGCTCAGCACCTCAAAATAAGCAAAAAGTGTCTGTCCTGGTGCTCTAGGCGCAAGGGCAATGTGTGCAGGGGAGTAATAAGCGTGACCAAGGCACAACTTTACAACAGCAAGAACTGCTGTTTGTATCACTCGCATATTCCCCATTTTGAAAGGCCTGTTGTGCACAGGCCATTGTGCATGGCACTTCACATAATCGGTGTGCCAACTGGACAATACTTGTCAAGCCAACAGCAAAGGCACCTTGACAGCAAGCTGATCAGCCGTAACTGTGTAGCCACTGCGACTGCACCGCAAGGGTGAATATGCAAAAGAGCACAGGCCAGCTCCCTCCCATAGGTAATAGGCGGTGAGCTCCCACAATTTAGTATTCCACAGATTAGTGCAACAAGTAGCTGCCGGCAGCCAATGCATTTTGCAGCGAGGGACTGTGCCAAGGTGCCTTTTTTCAGACTTCTTACCACTGGCAAATGGATTCATACCCGAACCTGACATGGTGAGTACTGTTGACCACATGCTGGGTATCAGATTTCAGGTTGCAGGCATGTTGAAAATCTACTGCATGTGAAGACATGGAGAACATTTATAGTGTTGAATCTCGATGCTGTCCAGCAACAACTCATAGCCCAACACTACACAATGACAACATACCAAACAGTGGAATTATGGCACTGGGTTTGTGCTTCAAAGAAACATCTATTGGCCAGAAAAGACAGACGTACAGTTGTTGGTCTATGGAGAAAGCATACAAGATCAAATCATCTGCATCACGGCCTTGACTGTGCAGTACTTTGTCGGTTCTGGGCAAATGCGGGATTCCATCAGCACAGTACTCTTTACGCAGGAATCCTAATCTCTTTAGTGGCTACTGTGCCCTAAGCTCATAACAATTCTCTAAAGGCCTATAGCTTCAGCAAAACGATCACAGCATCGACACATTTCTACCCCTACATCGCTCCCCCCACACATTGCCACTCTCACAACAGAAATGGGAGAATCGACCCACCTGTCGTAAAGCACAACATCCGCCAACCGCATCAACTCCACCGCCCGCATCGTGAGCAGCCCCGGATCGCCCGGCCCCGTCCCCACCAGATACACCCTCCCCGCCCGCGCCCCCTCCCGCCGATCCGCCCTGCCCGACAGCAGACGCAGCATCCCCTCGATGTCCGGCGCCGAATCAGCCACGCCGCCCGTATTGCCACCCAATGCCCCTTCTGGCTTGGCCCGGCAAGGTGCCCCGGAGCGGCATGGCCCCCTCGCCCTGAGCGGCCCAAGGCGGGAAGCGCCGACGGGCAGGAAGGCGCGGATCAATTGACCCGATTCCACGAACGTCTGCATCTGTGGCTCGCAGGACTGGCGCAGCATTGGTGCCGGCGGCGCGAGAGGGCCGTGGGCAGAGACGGAGGTAGGATGGGCGGTGGAGGGGGTTGCGGTCGGCGTGCTAGGGGAGAGGGGCGGGTGGGGGGCGCAGTGTGGCTACGGGGTGGGGCCTTGGCTTTCACGTTGGCCTTCTCTGTTGCCCGCAGTGGGCTCGTGTACAGTTCAGCACTCACTGCAAAATGGACCTCTAAGGATGCCGACATGGCTGACTGGTCTGCGGTAGCGATTGGTCACCGGTACCCAACGGACTGCGGGGCGGCACGAGAATAGTCGCTCTGTCTTTTCGTGGGGATCCGATCTTGCTTCCGGACACCCTGAATCCTAAACCACTGACCCACTGACTGGCGTTGGCCTTGTCAGCGGAAGAAGAAGGGATCCACACCGAAAAGACAGGGGAACTAATATATTCTGCTGCGGGGCCCGCAGGAAGGAAAGGTGTTCCTCACTGGCCACGGGTGGGGTCGAACGGCTGGCGGCTGGTGGACTCCTCATTCCCGTCCCTTTTTGCATACTGGATTGTAGGTTGAATGCCATATGACGGAAAATGGCAAAGTGCTCTTTGTCCGATGCTGCCAATCCAACAACAAGGGTAACGCGGGGAACACCTGGACAGCGCAAAGATTGCCATCCACTGCCCTTTTTTTTCCTAGTTGCTGTTATCAATGCGCAACGTCTCTTCCCAGCAATACAACTTCAGCCAACGGCGGCCAGGCGTTTGGCATCCATGGCCGCATCCCCTGACCTACGCGTCCGAGATCCAAAGCACGCGGTCGCCTCAAGAGCCACACGCTCAACAAACAGGATTGAGCCACCATGCAGATTCCGCAGAAGAATACCTCAAGTAAAATGGCAGAGAGTGTCAGGGAATTGAATGGACATGCAAGTCCAGACTGCTGATAAAAGGTTTGGTGCAAGTGTCAACCAGGCCCGCCGTCCTCCCCCCGCCCCAATCCGAGCAACCAGAAAATGCGGGGGTACTGCAACAAAAATACCAAAAAAGACTCCTGCGGATTATTTATTGCATTCGCCCAACGCTGGCGCCCGCGCTTCGCACATACCCCAAGTGCAGGCGACGAGGCAGGGGGCGCCGACACCTCCCAAGGCCCAGAGACTTTCCAAAGGGCCCCCTGGCGAACATGCGTCACGCGTCGCTCAAGCCCCTCGGCCCGCCGCCGCAGACGTCCTGTGCAGCTGTTGCAGACCCAAGAGTTGCTTCCATCAGGAGAGCAGACGCCGTCGCCAGGCCATCATTGCGAGTCGTGGTCAGGTGCGGTGGACCGTTGTTTCTCGTGGCTGTCTCTGTTCCCATTCGCAATCGACAGCTGAGCCTAGAGTGCTGAAATGAACAGTGTCGGCGAACGGGTCTTGTCGGGATCGGTGCCCAAGCCCCTTTTTGTGGCATGGAATCTTGGAGGCAAAGACACAGGCCACGCAATTGGCAGCTTCTCCCGAATATTGATTGGCTAGAATTCACAGTTGCACTGCCAAAACTGATGTGGAGATCACAAGCACTACGAAGAGGAAAAATGCAACCTTGATCGGTGCACATCAAGTTTGAGCAGGTTTGCTCAAGCGCGATTGCTCGCAAGAGGTGTGCATGGAGCATGGGCTGACCCAAATGTTTTCATCCATGCCGTGCTGATGTTGAGGTTTTTCCAGGGCGCAGCAGGACCCAGGGGCCTATGACACAATCAGGGAGTCCATGCCCCGCCAGGCTCCAGATGCGCCACCGCCGCCCCCGCCCCCGCCACCACCTCCACCGCCTGGGCCTCCCGAGGTGCGCAATGTTTTGCATATCGTGGTGTCATTGTCATGGACTGCACCTTGGCCACTCACGCCAGCGTCTATCCACTCAGGCTGTGTAGTGGAATTGTTTCAAACGGAAGAAAGGGAAGACCTTGCATCTGCAGAGCCCTTGCGCCAGAAGATGGCAGGTGCAACAAGATCTAACTGTTTGTTTGGTCACTCTCCACTTCACCTGCGAGATTGGGACACCCTTGTGTGCACGTGGTGCATGATGGCTAAAGTCAACTGGTACATTGCTCACATTCCATGTGGAGCAACACAAACTATTGCAAGCAGGACAATGTAGCAGATACTCATGTCAGGAACATCGATGTGTTTGGACCACTTGTTTCAGGAACAATCTAAACTGCAGGGGGGTTTGTCCCTGGAGTAGCAATGGAGACCTCTGTGTCCTCAAACACATGTTGGTAGCAGTGGCAGCTATATTCCACAGTATTGTTGTTTCACTGCCCAGCAGTTATTGAAGAACTGTGTCATTGATGCCCAGAAATGCTGCACCCACGCCAGGCATGGGGACGAAACCAACTCACAGTGCCCCCCAAAAGGATCAAAAGCCATGATGCAAACGATTCATTGCATGGCCAAGACGACCCGATAAGCCTGTGATGTGTTATGTGGGTTTGCGTGCTTGGCAGGGAAAGATATTTGGGCAGCCAAGGCGTGTGGTGCTGCCATTCCTTGCTGCCATTCCACTTGCTTTGTGGTGGAGGCTAGGCGCAAAACGTACGATCAACCGCAACGTTCTTTGGCTGCCCACTTCAGCTGAGTATATCGGCAAGGCAAATTAGCAATGCCTTAGCGTACCGAGGTCGAATCTGGGCACTGAACAATAGGGCAGCTGCAGAGTGCATCCATGGCTGGGCATAGTCAAAATGTTGCTGCGTGTTCCTCTTGTGGTGCAAGATTTTGTGGGCATTCAAGTCTCATTTGATTTCCATTCCTCCATCGCTCACAAATTTTGCCCTTCCACTTGAGGCAGCGATTGCCAGAATATGCAACATCAGTGTTGCTTGTCAGACTGCCCCAATTTGAGCTATCAGCTTGTTCCAAAGCTTCCTGATGGCTGACTGGCTCCATGAGTCTGCCTTTGCTGAATGAAATGGGATGTTGTTGTGCTTTTCACTGACGGTCTCCATTGAATGCTGCTTCATTTCATAAACTTCCTTGACAGTTTTGTGTTGCATGTCAGTTGATCTCCCAGAGCAGGAGCTCGTGGCCTCAGCCCCCATCAGAGTTCGAAGTGGGGGCACAACCAAGACTGTGAACAGAAGAGCGTACCGAATAAAGGGCAAGAACGGCACGACATACCTGGCTTCACAGGATAGCAAGGGGCGAATGTATATGGTGGATCAAGCTGGAAACCTGTACTACGACTCTGGGTTGCCACAGATCGGGTGGTACATAGTACGGATCCCCATCTCTCACAGTCCAGCATTGCCAGCCCCATTACTTGATGTCCCATTACTGGACTTGTGACAGGGTAATCAATGCGAATTGCACTACCTGTACCCCCAGCTGTATGCAGATCCTGCAGCACCATAGAAACGCCTTATTTCAGTTGCAAGCCGTATATCCGACGAAGCGCTGCTTGGGTGCCCATTTTTGGGCCCATCTGCCCTTTTGTAAACAGGAGCTTGACTGTCCATTGCCTTCAATCTCCCATTGGTCCTTTGTGCAGCACTCTTTCACAGTGAAATTCACAAACTGATGCTGAAAAGAGAGGGAATGGAAGTTGAGGAGTGCATCAATTGTCGAATTTGAACAGATTTCGAGCTCGAATCCCAGACACAGAAGATCTGATGTAGATGGCTTGGTTGTGAGATTTACACCAATGAGTGCTACCTCATTGCCAATGTGGCTGCCAGCAAGTTGCACAGTGGTGCATTGGTTCGCGATTTCGGACACCAGTCATTTGGTGCAGGAACAATGCGCTGTTCATTGGGCATGATCGCTTTGCATCTTACTCTTGTTCATGCAGATAAGTGCTAAACCTGCCGGACTGCTAGTTCTCACTCTTGGTGAGAGTGCGCCTGGATGATTGAGTCTCAGACGCACGATTTCCAGGAGCTCAATTCTGTATTGCAGCACCTGTTGCATTAGTCATGCATCATTTGCTTGGCACCAACGGTTCTTCTTATGTGTGCAGGTGGATCCTAAGGGCAAGGTGTACAATCTGTATGAAACGAGTGGGGGAGTCGAGTCCAAGTATGTGGGCAACATCTCTGATATAAAGAAGTACGATGTGAATGGGATTCTGGGAATGGACATACCCACTGCCCCCATTTATGCATTTGAGGACGACTCAATTAGTGTGCCACCAAAGGATATTCCCTTTGAAGAAATGATCACCAGTGATGGACAGAAGAAGGTGCGACTGAATTAAGAGGCTGCTAAACTTTTGTCGCTCTTTTAAGAGCACATCGAAGGATCTCGTTGCCACACTGATGCATTGACTGTGTGACAGTGTTTTGATGGCCACATGCAGCCAAACATACGGTTTGTGCAGCCACGCCCTGTGTTTCACTGTTTTTTTCCATCCAAGATGTGTTGCTTCTGTTGTGTGGTAGTGTGTCACCACAACAGGAACTTTGTATAGTCACAGTGCTGATGTAGGCCCCAGCAGGTACAGAGTGCAGGCGCTTGCTAAGGTTTCCTTGATGACCCATTCTTGTAAGGAAAACATGGAAATGGATAGCTGATGGGTGTCAGCACAACAGATATGTGTGTCCCACTGTGTGCCATGTGCTCCTAGCCAGATTGCCACGGCAATGCCATTCCGTGCTTCACAGCATACTCAAGTGCACATCCTCAAAAGGCAATTGGAATTCCTGTCTTAGATAGATTCGCAAGGTGGCTTGTGTTCCAGGCTTTGTAGCTTGCAGAAGTTAGTGCCCATGTGTTCCTCTCTGTTGGTGCCAGTTGTGGGCAGTGCATCCAACCCCCTGCCAGCGATTTGTTCTGCCAGAATGCTCTGTGAGCTCGTCACCAGCTTGTGGATGCCTGGACACGTTGTTTCGTGTATGCAAGCAAAAACAGGGATTCGCCTTCACAGGTGCACACCATTTCCTTCCCATCTGATCATTTCTTGTCAGGTGAATTCTGTCACCCTCATATATAGTGGGATTCCGGGTTGCTGAAATATCCACATGGATATCTACATAGCGGATATCATGATGGCCATGACTGATACCCAGGTTGTGGATATTGGCGTGATCGAAG